ACACGATTACATTTTTTGTCACAACATAATAATTTATATTAAATTTTGTTCACTAATTGGTATTGCATTTATTTATGATAATATTTTGAAAATATAAAATGATTTATGAAAAAAAATCATTATAACAATACACTTTCTAACCATTTTTTATTTATTTTTTAATAATTTGGTTTTTCAAAATTTTGATCTGATAAACTAAATGGGAACGTTGACAAAACTTTTAAAGACACGTTTAACTGGTGCAAATATATTTTTTAAATTATATTATGTATGAATTAATATAACATTTATATTAATTTATAAGGCCTATATTATAATCTTCTAATTTGATCTAAAAACTTGATCAAAATTAATATCAAATTAAATTTAAAATTAAATTTATAAATTAATAATTTAATTTTGGATAATTACTTAATTCAAAAATGGGTTTTAATAAAAAATCAATTGCAATGGTTTCCTCATTACAACGTGTTATTTATATAATTAATCACGTGATCCCTGTATAATCTAACAGATCTTGTCATTATGGGCAGGGTAATAGAAATAATAAATCAGCTGTGGTAACATTAATTTACTTTAGTTAGACTTATGTCATAATTTTGCGCTTAAACTTAAGTTGTGTCATTTTTTAACTAAAAAAAAATAAAACTTTGTCATACAATTCGTTACTATTCAAGAAATAGTAAAAAATGACATAATTCTTTGATAAAAATGCCCTTTAGTAAGACGCTTATCCGAGAAAAAATTAAAGTACTTTTCGCATAAAATAATTAATTTTTAAAATCGATGGCGATTTTTAAGCACAATATAATATTTTTTATTAATTGAAGTTATATGTCCTTTATGTGTGAATTTGTCAATGCGATTGAAGAACACTTACATGATAAACTTTCAAATGGGTGGGACTATGTGATAAATCTCAATTTAGATGTGGGGCAAAGTTAACCTCACAACATCGGTACAGATATTTCGTTTCTTACTCTTATCATGTTTCACTAAATCTATATGAAAAACTGAATAATTTTACTTATTATTATTATAATCCCTAGTAGCATGGATAAATGCAAAGTATTATGATAAGTAGTTGAAGAAAAGATAAATTAAGTAAGCACAAATGCAATATTTGAATTATACTCATAATTATAATTTTCTATATATTATATATATAATGTTATAAAATAGCAATTTCTCCGCCTTCTCTCCTGAAAAGCTCATTAAGTGACGTAGTTTTTCTTAAAAACTAATATCAAATTGTGAATTTGTTTTTAACTATTTGAATTATATTTCTCTTAGAAAAACTGAAAAGCTAAGAATTTTTTTCTTTGCTCAGAAATTACAAATATTGAATACATATTTTACTAATTTTCTTGAAAAATATTTTTTTTAAATTTCTCAAATTTTTAAAATTTTATTTTGGATAATTTTGGCCTTATTTGGCGAAATTATTTTAATGGGAAAATTAAAAATTTGGGGTAATGAATGAATATTTAAACGATCCATTATAAGATCTTCTAACATTTAGGCACTTAATTAATTGATATAATAAATTTTTGTAAAAAAATATAAAAATTTTAAAAATCGACCCAGCTCGATTTTTTAGAATCATATCCTTTATCGCCTCTTTCCGAGGAGGGTTTGCAGGTCTCTGATAAATAATATAATTATTATTTTTTCATTATAAATTAAATTCTATATTTTATAAATGATAAATGTTTATTATATTTTTTATGTAGTTATTATAAACATAATCATATTTTTATCGAAATATAAATGGATACAAAATCGAATAAGAAATAAAAAAATTTCAAATATTAAAAAAAATTTTTTAATATAATTTTAGTAATTTCAAAAATGTAATAAATTATATTCGAGAAAATATATAGTTATAAATATTATAAAATTTATATAACGGATTAAAATTATATAAAATATATTCTAATCATCATGTGAGATGAGGCTGCCAATGAAGCTGATGTAATTAGTCCTGTGAATTGCTATTGCGAGTCTTTGTCTTAAGAAGAAGCCTTCACGAGGTTCATCTGTTAGTTTGCGGATTAGCGATCCAAGTTCCTTGAAGAAGGAAAGAGCACGATTCCCAAAGGTAGTCAAGGTAGTGGAAATGATAGGAATGAATAAGTGATCTTGGGATATTTCTGAATATTTTGCAATTTTTAGAAGCTCCTTGTTCTCCAGAATGTTAAGGGATTGATTGGAAGGAGCCAATGGATCAATACAAGAGTAAACCCAGACCAAGAATTGGCCTCGCTTCCAGGGAATTTGAGAGAACCCGTCGCATTTCCCATCAGATCTGAAAAGACCAGAAGGTTCGAGAATAGAAGGAATTTGAGCGGATCTCAGGGCTCTAAGAATTATAGAATTTCAAATTTTATGTCTAACGATGCGGCCTTTACATGAACGACAATGTAGACTATGCCTTCCATTACTCAAAACAGCAGAACTGCAGCCGGCACAGATGTGGGGTTGGGTTACTAAGCAATTTAAACGGATGCCTATAGCATGAGTTAGCTCATTTTGGTCAATTGTAATAATTTTTGTTATAATATTTGATGAAATTAAATAAATTTAAAAAAATTAGCATCCTCAAGATTTCGTTAATAGTTGCCCAAACTATTATGTCACCTATGAGCAAAATGCTTGCTTAATATTTTATGGCTATAATATTGGGTTAGCCTTGAAAAATCAAGCCATTTAGCAACACTACCAGGGAGTTTAAAAACGGGTTCGAATTTGTAAAAAATTTCCTATAAATTCGGTTCAAAGTTCGTAAAGTGTGATATGAAGCCCTGAGAATTACCAATTAAGAAGCTTATTGGTTTTTTTAAAAAAATTCAAAAGTACCTTTACACTAAATAATAATATATTTATAATACCTTATTTATTACTATTTAATAAATCTTTATAACATGATAATAGAATATTGAATGGAAAGGATATTAAATAAGCGAATAAAAAAATTTTTTGACTAATTTGTTAATTACCTCTTTGGGCTTAATCTATAAGCGCGTGTCGGAGAAAATCCGTTATCATTAAGTCGGTTTAATATATATTGGTTTCTTTCAAATTTGAGCTGCTAAGTTTTTAAGTAAAACCCCGTGTCAAAGTGATAGTTTTGAGCCGGCTAATAAATGGCTTAAACAAAATATTTGTAATATTTATCCACAAAATAAAAATTCATAATTTTTCAAATAAGCTTATTAACCAGAACATTTTTTAGGCGCCGTTTTGTTGTTACATAAAATTTATTGTCATAGCAAATTTCATATATTATTCTGCTGAGCAATTTATTTATAAATCTGGGATTTAGATTTTATATCTGAGGCAATTTTTTTCTTCTTATACAATTCAGTTTTCTTATCTGATAAAGCATTAAGAAATAACTGAGCTAACAGTATTGAACTTTTTTTTCTATTTCTGAGATTAAATGCAGGGCTTTAAGCCGTAATCGTTTCGGTGTAGTTTAAGTTAGGATATAAATAACAGTTCATGGTTCAGGTTCTATTCCTAAAAAATAATAATAATATCAAGTGGGGTTGAACCATTAAAACCTGACTCAATTTTCGCATACCAGTATACATTAGAATTATGTAAAAAAAGGAATTAATATGTCAACAGGTTCAACCCGGTTCACAGGCATTTTTAGAAGTTCGGTTATAGTTCGAGTGACAAATTATTCAACGGTTAATATTGGTTTAACCATTCTGTTTGAATCCCTGATTAAATGGTAGCCTAATTGTTTTGTTAATAATATTTAAAAAAAACTCAATTAAAGAAAAGAAGTATTCCTATTAAAAATAGGAGGAAAATTTTCAAACATATTATTAATAGTTCACATTTTTTACATTTTTACTACCATTAAAAATACCTATTTTTTAAAAAAAATAAAAATTTTTTAAAAAAAATAAAAATTTTTTAAAAAAAATAAAAATTTTTTTTAAAGTTAATAAAAAAACCTTAATAATTTGCAGCAATTAAATATTATTTTAGGTATAAATGTATAAAAAAAAAGATGTTAAAATGATTCGTTTATAAATGATAATTATATAATTTTTTAAAAAAAGAAAAACTATGTTAAGGTTATTAAAATATAAATTTGGAACATGCATTTAATTTAAAAAAATATATAAAATCAAATTATAATTATAACTAACAAGACATTCAAAAAAAAATGAGCTGAGATGGATAGATGGCACTCGTGCAAAATTTTTTATCATTTCGAAATGCTTTCGTGATTTAAGACATGAAACGCTTTTTTGTTTTTATCTTTTCAATATTCTTTTATTTATTCTTTTTATTTTACCTTATCTATTTCAAATATAAAAACTGTGTGAAAAACGTTTCGAAAGAGAAAATGATATCAAATTTTTATTTTAAAAGTATTTTTATGATAAAATTATCATTTATTTTAATTAACTTTTATAATTATATAAATATTTTGAATCTAAATTGATTATTTTAGCCCATATTTAAAAATAAAAATTTTACTTATTATTTTTTACAGAAATGCTAGTCTTATTAATATTAAAAGTTATATTATATGCCTTTAATTCAATTAAGAATTAATTTGCTATTACCCTAATTAACAAATGGACATATTGATAATGATTTGTGGTTAAAAATTTTAAAAAAAATAATATTTATATAAAAATATTTAAAAGGAATTATAAATATAATGCCTAATTTCAGAGGAATAGGCTTGTTCTATGTCCTTTTCACGGTGATAAAGATGTCAATGGCTGTTAGCATATTAAATTCGTCCATACTAATAAGTAATAAAAATTATAAAAACTTGTTGAATTATGATAAGGCCCATTTTAGAAGAACCTTTTTCCTTTATAACTTTAGGGATTATCAATTAATTATTTATTAAAATTTTGCTATTTTTATATAATTATTTTATTAAGTTTTAACTTTTAAAACATAAGAAGAATAGAATTAAAAAATAACAATATGTACTATAAATTAAATTTAATACCAAACAGCGAAACCGCATGCACCCACTTACCACTCAATGAATTCACATTTTAGACACAGAAGGCAATCTAGGAACCGCAACGAAGTTATACCAGCCCGTTTGCTATTAGAGTTTCTGGCGGATGTAAAAATTTCAATCGTAGAAAGATTATTAGGAGAAGAGCCACCAAACCAAGAAACGAGCAATCAACTTCGTACTGAATATGGGAATGTGGAAAGTAAACTAAATCGCATATTTTCACCGCCTCAAGATTTTGGGAATACAAGGAATACAGAAAATTTAGATAATTCTTTTAATTCGCGCAACACAGAGAGAAGGCTCCATGCAGAAATTCATCAAAGAAATAGAGAAACTGGGCATCGACGTAGACCTATACATGTAAGTCCGGAGAGTAGGCGGAATCCCCCATTTCCGCCCCCTGAAAATCCAGGTATAAACCAAAATTTCAACTTTCGCAACGAACATAGAAAGTCACATCCCGGAATTCGTCGTAGAATTGAAGAACCAACTCATAACCAGATTCGAACTACCCATGGAAATCTTGAAAATAAACGTAATAATCTGTTATCGTCTCCGGAAAATTTGGATAATTTACGCAATCATTTTAACAGGGAGAGAAGACCTCACCATAAAATTCCCCCCAAAAATCATGAACCTAGTCCACCGTACAGGCCCGATGACAATCGACAACCATTTTCCCTTGATACTACCTCGGGAAATCTGTTAGATATTAAGAAATTACTTAAAGGCTTATCTATCAACGATTTGTTAAAACTTATACGGGACTATTCGTCGAAAGTTTATCAATCAAAGATTGGTGATACGCAAAATAATAACATTAAAAAATTGACCAAAGAGGATGTGATTAGGCAAAGTTGTGTAGATGTTGATTGGTCAAAGAAATTTGATCAAAAGTCGATTGATAATTTGAATTCCATCGATTATCCGACCATTAAAAATTCGCTTTTATATTTTTATAAAATTGCCCATCATTTTATAGAAGATACTCTGTATTATTTGTCGCTAAAACGAGGGAAAGGCAAGGATAGTTTCCAAACTCAGGATGTGATATTAGACATATCGTTCATGAGAAAATTATTGGCCGAATACGAAAACGAGCAAAGGTTTAATAGCCACAATCCACTCAATCGCGCTATTTGGGAATACTTATTGCATTTAGATGACATGATAGAATATAAAAGGTCATCTTGTAATTATGAATTTAGTGATGGTCAGTCGCGTTTTCCCTCTAAATTTGAAGGTGGCACTTCACAACCTAAAAACGTTCTACATCATATTCAAATTAGGGATCACGATAATGATAACAAGTATCATACTATTGCTCCAAGGAATCATTTTCAAGAAGCGATAAATTCTTTGCATCGTCTAAGTAGAAGTATAGAATGCATAATAAGCATAATCGAAAAATGTTACGAGAAATATTTTCAGAGCAAGGCTAATGACATAAATAATCCGAGAGGTTACAACCTTTTAATATCAATAAAACAAAATAATGAATATTTATTAACGAGTTTTGAATACATAACAACTTTGATCAATAATCATAGATGCAATCGGGAAGGTAAAAGGTTTCACTCTCTCCACGACCCTCATAAGAAAGAGCATTATCATCATCAATCTCGACAACAGGGGTTGCTGACGCGAGATGAAACTATTTTTTATGAACAATTGAAAACTATGCTGACTGTTGTCAAGCGAATTCAAATAAGTTTGAATGAGAACGGGCATTCCATTGAATCAACTTGTCACGACTATTTTCAACATATTGGTAGACAGTTACCTCACAAAGAACGGAATAAGCTTCAAATAGATGATAATTATCACGACGAAGCTCACCAAGTTATAAATGCTATAAACGACATTTTGCATTTAGAAAAAGACAAAGGCTCCCAAAAATACGGCCAACTCACTCATTTATTGAATCAACCCATTTCAACCTTACTTGATGATAAATCGAAAAGTAGTAGGAATAGATATTCCGATATACCTCGCGAAAGGGTTAGAGATGCTAAGAGCGAAGTAAAAGACAAAGATATAAAAATCAAAATAATTGGCATTCCCCTCCTCAGAAAAATACGATTTAAAGAGAGAAGACACCACGAGAAAAATATTCGACAAGAAATAAAACTTGTAGTAAAAACGCCTATGCCAAAGCATATAAAACGTATTGTAGAAGCACCTAAGCCAAAGCATGTAAAAAATATTGTAGAAGCACCTAAGCCAAAACATATAAAACGAATTGTAGAAGCACCTAAGTTAAAGCATATAAAACATATCGTAGAAGCCCCTAAGCCAATAAGACCTATCATAACAAAAATAAGACCACAAAAGAAAAAAGTAAGTTATAGTCGTCCAAAACAACAAGATTTTCCTTCAAAATTATATTATCCTATGAACTATTATCATGATAATTTTGATGAATGGTTCGATTATTTTCCTATTGGATTGAAAAAAAGAGACTTAAGGGGTCTGAATAATCAAACTTTTTCACCCCAGACATTTCAACGAAGAATGCCGGATGACCCTAGAAGTGCCGGCTTTGCTCAGACATTGATTTCTATTTATAATGAGATTCCAAAAAGTATAAAATACAACGCATCGAGACAAGTAAATTAAAACATTTTTATTATAGATCGCCCATACATTATCGGCAATATGGTGCATATTCAGACTATATTTGTAATATTTTATTAATTTGTTTGGAAATTTATCTATGTATTTAACACGTGTTGGAATACACTTCCGGCTCAAATAAGATTTTTCAAAATTAAAAAAAAAGTAAAGTAGATGATTTACACTTAAAAATAGCCAAAATCATTTATCGAGTGTGTTTTTAAATTTGAAAATCTAATTTTTATATAAAGTATTTTAGTATGCCTAAAATAGGTATCCAATAAAATTTCAGAACATTTGAACATAAACTTTTGAGTTATTTTTTAATATATATTACTTAAAATTACAAAGATTGAGGGAAAATATCAATCAGGCAATCTCGTATAGCTTGATTTCGCACAATTCTGGTAGCATAATATTAATATGTTATAGAATGTTATTTTCAAATAAATTTATATTTATTTATTACTATATATACACATATATATTTATATTCCAATCTCTGTGTAAAGTCAATGAATTCAAATATTTGGATTAAATAAAATGATTGATAATTTATGTTAATTGTATGTGTAAATGGGCATAACAGCTCTTATCCTAAATGGACATGTGACTCATCGGTAGCTTTAAATTCTATCAAGGTTTCAGTCTTGCTTTTTACAAACGTTTACCCGGGTTACATTTTTTTAAATTATTTTAATTAAACTCCTAATTAAATTATTTTATTCAGAAAATTATAATATAATTACACAAAATAAGTAGATTCAATACAGATTTACGCATAAAAATAACTATAAAAAAATTCTAAAGATGAGAATTTTATTGCTCAAAAAATATATTGAACGAGTTAGAATTAGAGAAGAGGTAACGTAAAAATCTTGCCCCACCCCCATAATAAAATAGTTATTAGGTTTTATTCATAATCAAAGATCAAACGTTAAATTTTTTGAAGGCAAATTCCCCCCCCCCCCTGTCACAAATCTACTACTATACCCCCTAAAAAATTATTTATCGACCGTTTGGAGTATTTTATTGGTAGGTTAGGTGGCATCGACTTATTTTACCTTTTGTAGCTCTCATCTTTCCTCTCTTCTCGCCTATTAAATAGAAATTCGTTATCTACAGTTTGCCCTATTTTCCTTAAGTTCCAATATAATGCGTTCAGCTATTCTCGTATTCTCAATAAAATCGATGACTTTTTTTAAAAATATTTTACTTTAGTTTTGCAAAGAGTTAAGGTATAAAAGTTTTAATCTATTAAATTTATAAAAGTGAAATGTGTTAAATTCTCAATATTTTAATTATATCATCAAATTATTTTTATAATAATAACAATACAACTTCCTAATATTTCAAATATTAAACAAATACTATAATATAAATCAATTTGCATATTTAATGAGTTTTTGATATATATATTGTAGTAGATATTTGGTTATAAAATAAATTGAAATTTTGTAATGGATTATGAAGAATTAGGGAATTAACTTTTTAATTCTGTGTGGTCTAATAGACTACCAATATAGGACTCCACATTTAAAAATTTATGGATGTAACGGTTAACTAAGGAATCCCAGCTGAATTTAAAGCATGCTTGCTAAGGTAACTGAATAAAGTGTGCCTAAGAGCTAGCCGCTACTCCTGATGAATTGAAGGCGATGTTTGCTCGAATCTCTTAGTAACAGCTAGCGCATTTTTATGAGATAATTGAGTTGATGTTTAAGCGAATATCAAGCGCAAAACTGAATTCTTGGTCATTGAACTAAAGACCTAGGTTTTTAAAAGGAATAGCCTCCAATAATTTACATGAACCAATGTTCAAAACAGCAAAAGAGGAATGGTCGACAGATTATATGGGGAATAGTTAATCAACGGTATCTGTAATCATATGTAAAACCCAATTTTCTGCTTGTTTGAAGTTGGAAGAGGAGTGTAAAGTGCATTTGTGTTGCACAATAAGGAAAAAACCTCATCTAGCAAATGGTCATTTGAAAAATAATGAAAGGCAAGATAGCAGAGATAAATCCACATATCGACAAAGTATAGAGACCGAATTCCGATTCCTCCATTAGAAATGGGTAAAGTGGCTTGAATGAGTGATCATTAAAATGAGGATTGACAATTTTTTCCATTATACCTTTTATTTTTTAACTCGTTAATTTTGAGTTCTCCGGTAAATTTGAAGATAGCAGTGGATTTTATGGCATAAAGGATTTTGGGAATGTTGAAAAAGTATTTTGGGAATGTTGAAAAAGTATTTTTTAATTATGAAATATATCTTGTGCTTAGGAATGGAATATAAGAGCTCATCAAAGTTTCTGAGGTTACTTAAGGTTTTTTTTATATTATTGTTGGATCGCTCCCACACAACAATAAGAGACCAAGTGAAAGATTTTGTCTTGTATAATGTTTTTAGAACTATAATTAATTTCAACGTCCAATTATAAGAGGCAGATTTTGGTTTTGTTTGTGTTTAACCTAAGACCAGTAGAGACACATACATTTTTTATTATGTTGCGAGCCTTAACGATTTCCACACGTGAACCACTTATTGTACCGTTTTTGGTGTATCAAATGTAGAGATCGAGCTTGTAGTTGCTTTTAATTTTTTAATAATAAAATTAAGACCTATAATTAGTAAACCTACGCGGTTTCCTTGTTGAATGCCTTCGGCGGATGCGATTGGTATCTATTTGAAGAAGGGTAGGATCTTGGTAGCAGCCAATTATGTAGTTAGCATAAGTTGGAAAATATTTGGTGTTAGTATGGAGATTATTAGAAGCACTCCTGAAGTCGATTATAATTAAATGTGCATAAGAAATATTATTTTGGAGTTAAAATCGAGAGCTATGAGCCGTTGCCTAGAAAACATACATTTTAAATCAGACCTAACTACTGGGTACAAGAAGACAGGTAGCAACGCCTGTAGACCCGAGTCAAAAGATTTTGGCAGCGAGTCTTAGAAAGACTCTTCCTATGGCGATTTGTCTTATATCTTTATTGGGTTTAATGAGGGCAATAAGTTTAGCACCAAATAAAATCCTACAAATAAAGGATGGATTATCACCAGATGCAATGATGTTGCATAGTAATGTTAGGAAAGTAAACAGATTTAGTATTAGTAAATGGAGCAGTCAAGTCATTCAAAAATATAGGTCATATATTTTCAAATCCATAGGCAGAATCTTTTTGGAATAAAAGGATTGCCTTTCTGAGCTCTTCTTGTGAGAACTCTTATTCGAAATATATTGTGTATCTATCGTGTTTTTTTAGAAATTTTTGGTATGTCGTCTTGTCAAATGGAGCAACAATTGAGGTTGAAGCAGCCAAACAAAGAGTTCCTTTTATATTAAAATTATAGAATTTCTTAGGAATTAATTTTATTATAATTTGATAGGATTTAGAGATGCTGTTATATAAAAGAAGTTTTGATATTAAAACCAAGAGTTAAGAGTCCTATGACCAAAGAGAATAAAAATTTTCAAGTGTTCCTTAAAAATTTTCAAAAAAGAATTTAAGTATTCAGAAGAGGTTTTCAATTCTAGCATGCCTTTACCTTTAGGATAAGGAAACAATTGATGGTGCTAGTGTAATATTGTAGATGACTGAAGTGATAAATTGACTGTAATTAACACAATCAAAATAATCTACATATATAATTCTCAAAAAACGTCAATTATATTTATCCAATAAGATTCTTTATTTTTTATTCAATGTAGTCTTTTTACCAATAATCTTCTAATGATATTCATTGTACCAATATTCATTAAATAGTAATTCTTTTTCGTCATATAACTAGATATTAATCTGCTAGCTTAGTTTTTTCATGGCTTTATAAGAGTAGTTATATTAAATATAGTATCAATCTACAACTTATCAAAAAAATATCAGCGAAAATTATGTTCGGTGGTCTGATAAGTACTAATCTATATTGGGCTATACCAAAAGTGAAATGAGATAAATAAATATAATGATAAACAAAGTCGAGAACATGACACACATTCCATTGTTAAGGAATTTGACTTAGTCAATATGTAAGGATAAGGAATGAAACCATGAATGACTGGAGAGTAGTTTGTTAATTCAGGTCTATTTTTAAAAACGGCCCGATTACATTTATAACTATAAAATTTTAACCAGGGATAGATTTTTTTGTTAATTAAATCTATATATCCAAAAAATTATTAATTAATATATATAATTAAATTTTAAATTTTAATCAAAAAGAATATTGATTTTTACCTTATTGATAGACAGCGTCTACATGACAGGATTTTTACTGGATGCAAACCCCGTTCAAAAACCTTTGCCTACCCCCCTATAATTATTTTCACCTTTATAATTTTATTAATACTCTTAAGGATAACTTAAATTAATATATCTCTACTACCAACTATCGATATTTTGTGAATATAAAGAATTTATATTAGATAATAAATTTAATTAAAACCTCCATTATTTACAATGAATTAATTATTAAGGCATTATGAGCTTGCTGATATATCGAAATCTTTTAAATTAAAAAGGATAGCAGAAAGTTTTATTTGGAAAACAATGTGTATGATTGTTTGCAATATATAGATTTGGCCGATAATTGTATTATAATATTTCTATAATAAAAGTATTAATTTTTAAAGCAATAAATTTTATCCTATTTCATCTCAAAATTTAATAGATAAACCCCCAAAAAATTTATTCTACCCCCATTAAAGAAGCCTACCCCCTCAAAAAAATAGGATGCAAACTGTTCCTACCCCTCCCGCTCATGTAGACGCTATTGATATATTTAAAAAAATATTAATTCCATTCTATTTTTCTTTCACCTATTAATTGTTTGCTTTTCAACTTTATACTTGCCAAATCTTGAGGCTAAGACAATATTATTTTGGCTAAAATCTTAATCGCGCCGTTTTTAAAAATCTATCCAAATTGTGTTTTTAACAACACTACTGGAGAGAAGAAATAGATCAAGATAGGAAGGGGATATATTTATATGTAATATAAACGCTAGATCGCAAATTGCGAATACATGCTGACCAGTTTGGGGACCTTGTAGCATATACCACTGAATAGGTGATGGCGGGAAGCAATCAGAGGGATTGGGATGAAACGTCAATCTGAGGGCTGTCACACACGTCACTAAAACGAATGATTGAAGAGATATGGATCAAATAACAGTTAAAGTCAAATTCATATTATATTCTGTGTCTGTATGACTCATTGTCAATTATCAATTCAATATCAAATATAAAAAGGTGCACATACTAAATTAGACATTTAATCAAAATTTTAATTCAAAATTAATTAATTATAACTATTAAAAATAAAATTAAATATTTAAAAATATTTATTAAGTATATAAATATTTTAAACTAGTTATTTATGGGCAGTTACATTCCAAAGAATTTAATCGGTTAAAGTTATATTTTTTGTAAAAATGTAACACATTAATAAACGACGATGAATTATTTGAAAAACTACCATGGATTAAACAATATCATTTTATTATAATTTAAAATTATCACTAATTTAAAAGAATGTTTCATTCTTTTTATATAAATAATAAATACAAATTTTTTACAGCTATCAGTAACTAGTAACTTTAGCAATGCTTCTAAATTATTGATGCTTTATATTAAACTGGTATCTACAAATATGTTTAATAATTATCATTTCAGATTTGGTATAAAAAAGAATATGAAATAGCATGACATGGTGTACTAATTAACATACTAACTATAAACAAAGTTTTTTAAAATATTTAAACTTATCATAGATAAATAAGCATGCCAATGATTGACATGAACCTGTAAAGGTTTTATGTATTTATCAGGTTTACCATATGCTTATATATTTAAAAAAATAGTTTACGAAATTACGACGATTGTGAAAAATATTTGATATCTATAATATGGGTTCAAATTTTCAATGATTAGGTAAAAAATTTTTTTAATAGATTACTATCATAATTTTACAGATTTATTAAACGTGAGACAGAATTTCAATATATTATGAATATATATTTTACTTATTGTTTATGTTCTTAAATATTCATAGGCTGATAATTTTGCTTAAGATTTACTAACAATGCCTATATAGAGTTCAAAATGGTCATCGTATAGTTTTATACACAGATTCTTAGGGTGTGCATGACAATCATAAAATAAAATTATTTTCATTACTAATATTTTTTAAAACCTATATTAAAATAAAATTGTGTTTCTATTAAATTGGGGAAAGGAAATATTACAAGTTTAAAACCCTGAAGTTATTTTCTAGGAGATATTTTTACCCATAGCCCAATACTACCCCTTACCACTTAGTTGAAATTTCCTGGTTATTGGATGTAAATATATCTTACAAGTCTTTAAGATTGGTTTTTTTTTTATAAGCTGATTCTTATTTATTTTTGATAGTTCATTTATTATTAACATGAAATTGAATTTGTACAGGATAAAATTCTAAAAATAAGATAATTTTAACTTGTAAATTTTCTTATATTGTTATTTTGATCAAGGTAAATTTTTTCATGAGTTTATAATGATAATTTAAATATAATTTGTTAATATAGATGAATTATGTAAAATCAAATTCAAAGCAATTATATATTTTTTTCTTCTCTTAATATAAATTATATATATAGTATATTTATTTATATTAACATAATCCCATATCAACCCCCCTCCTAATCACTAAAATATATAAAATAGTATTGGCTATAAATGTTAAAGTTACTTTATAAAAAGTAGCATGATATAGCTATTAGTGGTCTACATTAGAGATCTGAAATTTGGGCCAGGCTTGGGCCTAATTCTATTATAAATAATCGGGTTCGGGCTGGGCCTGATATTTTAAAAAAAATTTGGGCCAGGTCAGATCGGACCTTGGAAATTTTTTTAAATATATCTAAATTTTGATTTTATTTATTGAAACTAAACAACATATAACATGTCTTTTATTTTGAATAATTATAAAAATTAATTTCTATATTTAAATAAATTCGGGCTGGGTCGGGAAATCTTTTTTAAAAAAATTTCAAGTTCGGGCTGGGCCGGCAAAACTTTAAAAAAAAATTTCAAGTTCTGGCCAGGCCAGCAAAACTTTTTTAAAAAAGATTTTGGGCCAGGCTTAAAAAATTAGGCCTGATACAGATCACTAGTTTACATTGGGCCTAATTTTTCAAATCTAGCCTAAGACTGACCCAAAATATAAAAAAAATTATTTGTCCACTCAACCTGGCCTATTCTACATGTTAAAATAATATTGGTGCCTTGTTTCTTGCAAAAATTTAAATATATCAATATTCCACGAGTGATATCATATTTAAAAATTTATGCCTGACCTGGCTTGCCCAAATTTTTTTAAAAAATATTAGGCCCAACTAGTGTTGTTAAATGGCTCATTTTGAGCCGATTTTTTTAAAACAATTAACTCAATATTATTAGGAAAATTATTATGCAAGCCTTAAGATTTTGCTCATAGGTGCACAAAGGTTTGAACATCTATTAAAGAATCTTGAAGTCAGTGGCGTATCCAGGATTTTCTTATAGAGGGTGGAAAAATTTTTTGGGGGCTTCTTATTTAGCTATTCTATTAAATTATGAATAATTTAATTATAATTATATTTCTATTTTTAACTATTATTTACTAATTCGTGCTTATGGATAGGATATTACAAGCCTCTTTTTTATTATTTCAAGTTAGGTATATTATATTTAATAAAGTTTTTTTAAATGTAAAGGTTTATTTATATGTAAAGTTTTTTTAAATGTAAAGGTTTATTTATATGTAAAGTTTTTTTAAATGTAAAGGTTTATTTATATGTAAAGTTTTTTTAAATGTAAAGGTTTATTTATATGTAAAGTTGAAATAAAGTGTAATGTCATTTTTTTTATAAAATTTGCTTTAAAAACTAGCCTCAGCTTAAATTCTCATACAATATAAGTAGAATATAATTTTTTTTATTGAAAATACTAATAGTAGTTTAAAATATTGACTAGAAAATAAGTAAATTAACAAGTTTTTTTTAACTTCTTATCAAATACAAGATTTTTAATTATTTCGTTTGTCTTTGGAACCAAATCTCTGTGTATATTTAACAGAGCTAACCCATTTAGCCGAGATTCAGTACTTCGTAAATATGTTTTCAACCTTCTCAAGTTGGAAAAAGTCCTTTCATTCGTACATGTTGCAATAGGCAAACATGCAAGAATATAAAACAACTTCGAAATATTAGGAAATTGAGCCAAGGTTTCTTTACACCGATTGAGCGCATCAATAGCATGCTCAGGTAAAATAGCTAAACGTATAAATATTTATACCACAATTCGAATTCACTGATTAAATTTATTTCAGTATCAATCTCATAGGAATAAAATTCTAAATATTTAATTTTACCAATAGTGGCATTAGAAAATGAAGAAGGATCTTTGGGTAATAAAACTTGAAGATTGCTAAAGACTTGTTTTTTATCTAAAACCCGTACTTTTATTTGCTATAAAAAAGTATCGGGATGAAAATGGATATTTTATAATATTCTTCAGTTGAGCCAATATTTATTTTCATCTCAATAATGGCCTAGGTGCTAGACGAGGTTTAATTAGTATTATATCATAAAATTTAGCCTTCGATTCAATGTCTAGATAAATATTATGAAAATATTTATCTACATTCATTCTTATTGTATCTACCTGTTCATGTATATTTTCCGCCAAATCAATAACTTGAACCAAATCTAAATTTGGTTTTTGTAAATTTCTACAAAGTAGTGAGCTAAAAATAATTTATTGATGCAACTAGCAGCAATGATAAACTCTGATTGATCAATTGAATTCAATAATGATATCGCTGCTAACGACACATTACTTTTTTTCATGCTCAGCCTTATTTATAAATTATCGTTTGATTTCAATCTCTTTGACTAAATATTTTTCCATTTTATTAATATTTTTGAATAATATGTTGGAAAATTGATATTCAAATATTTGTAAAATTTTGATTGGTGGGGGGGGGGGGTAAAATTTTTATTAGCTTAAAATGATATTTATGAAAATAGTCAAATTTGCTATGGGGGGGGGAATATCCCCATTTCCCCCCCCCATTGGTTACGCGCCTGCTTGAAGTTTAGTCAATATTTTTTTAGATAAAATATTGAGTTAGCCGTTTTTAAAATCGTCTCATTCAGCCGTTAACAACACTAGACCCAACCCAGCCCATAATTTTAAAATTCCATAACAAAAAAAATAAAGTGTTGTTAATTTATTCTTCTATTCCTTTTTACTTTTTAAAAATTTTATTGTGGAATTGACTATTCAATAAAAATAAATTATTACATTACAAGATTCATTAATATTGAACCTTCAATATTGCTTAAATTAATAATAAAAAAATATTTTTACGGAAATGTGGGGAAAAAATATGAAAATGACTGTCATAATACATGTTGGGGGGGGGGTATGGGTGTATTTTGTTTGAAATGGCATTGAAAAATCTCTGGAGAACAATGCTACACCTTTTAGTTTAATAATTTTAAAATAAAATTCAAATTTTATATACTCATTGTTTATTACTTAGTTCATTAAATTAATTTGCGAATCATTTAAATATTATTGCCTCGAAATGTGAGGCAAATGGATTGGTTGTCCCCTAACAAATTTTTTTGCAAAATATTACACATTTCCGATAAAATTTATTTTGTAAAAGTATAATTATAAAATATGGAATCTCTATGAAAAATATTGACATTTTTCAACTAATTAAACCAATTTTTTAAATTTATTAGAAATAGGTTCTAATTAATAAAAATGAATCAAGGTCGCTATTCCTCTAAAATGGCAAAAATTAGATAAATGTGCATATAACGATAAAAATAAATAGGATTGCACCGATATTATTATTATCGGATGGAAAAGATCAAATCAATCGATCTTCTCATAAAACCTATCCGATACCTACTTTTATAACATTTATTTATATTGCCAAAATTTAATTTTTTTTTCCGATATTGATATCGTTACACTCAAGTCATAACTATGGCGTTTTATATGATACATAATATAAGTGAAAACTATATGATACATAATATAAGTGAAAACTAGGTGTTTTATTATATGATACTTATAATATATAAAAAAAATAAAATAATTTATAAAATTTTTGTTTGCCGAAAATTTTGAGCAATATATCTTTGAAGATTTTTTTAAAAAATCATAATTATTTTTTTTTTAAAAATCGTGATTTAATTATGAAATATTTTTTTATGTATAAGAATCATAAAAGATTTACTTATTAGATTTTTTTACCAAAAAATTTTGAATAATCTACAGATATCAAAGTTTTTGAAGAGCATTTCAAACTAGTTGATTTAAAATAAAATGTTGATTATTTGGTATATTTTTTATGGGCGACATCTAGAAAGGCATGAAAGATATTTAATTATATGAGTTGTAATGTGTAAGATAAAGAAAATAAAGCACGAAATCCATTTAAAAATATACACTCGAACTAAAGTTATCACTAACAAATGGTAAATTAATAACGCTCTTTATTTTAAAAACTAACCATGGAAAAATTGATTTTGAGCCAATTTTTAAAAACGGCTCTCAATATTGTACATAAAAATATTACGCAGGTTTGAAGATTTTGATCATAAATGGCACAAAGGTATAGACATCTATTAGTGAAATCTCGAGGCTTAGGCAATATTTTTCTGGCTAAGTCGTTTTTAATTGGCTCAAAACGAGCTGTTTAACAACGCTAACTGTTGGTATAAAGAAATACTTAAAAATTTTCCCTTTCTCGTGATCAAGCCGATATTTAATGCATTATCACGAATGAGTAAGTGTATTTTTTTAAAAAAAATCATCTCATCTAAAATATCAACAATGATTTTGGCGGAATTAAACTTGATTATCAA